CTCTCTCTCTCTCTCTCTCTCTCTCTCTCTCTCTCTCTCTCTCGGCTGGGCGCTCTCTCTCTCTCTCGGCTGGGCGCTCTCTCTCTCTCTCGGCTGGGCGCTCTCTCGGTGCTCCCCTACCGAAACGGCTGAAGGCTGTCCCGCTTCTTCTATCACTGTCGACGCATTGTCTTCCGCCAGCTCTAGCTCCCCAGGGAGAAAGGGGTCAGTAGATGCGTGACGGCCTTGTCTATGCATGAGGCACGGCCCCGGCCATGTGTGACCCCTCCCCCCCAGCCCTCGCCGAAATGCGTTCCATGGTTCGTTGGCGCTGTCTGGCGGCGTTAGCCTTTTCGGCCGCCTCGCGGTCCAGCGTGGCTGGCACGCTAGAGCTTGCCAGCCTTGAGGGGGTGCCGGTCCAATGCTTTTCAAATGTGTTCGGCCTCGGGCATTCACTGGGGCGGTGACTGGAATTGGATGCGGGTGTGGCTCTTTCTTCGCGTCATGTCAAAGCCCGGTCTATTTGCGAGCTTGGAGTGGGTTCTTCCACCATTATGGCAAGCACGCTTACGTCTTTACAAACACCAGAAACAACAACCCGGCGCGTGTAGAAAATCCCGGGAAAATCCTGAGGAAATCCCAAAGGCATCCCCTGGGGTGAGTAGTGGAGCGGTGGCAAGCGCATCTCTGTGGGTGGTGTCATATTGTACACAAGGCCATCCCCGTGCGCTGTGTTGTTTGTGTTGAATGTCAGTGCGGACATTTGTCGCCTCTTCTTCTTTGCGTGTCGTGTGTGTCTTGTTTGTTTCTGATGGCATTTCGCTGGGAGTTGTTTTCGGGGTTTGTCGCTTCGGCTCCTTCGTGTGAGTGTTCTCAGATAGCTAACGAAGAAGCTACCTAAGGCCTTGGTCCGTAGTCTTCGAGCTTGGCTAACAAATGTCGCCGCCACGGCAAGCGCTGCAGAGGCTGCGCGCTGTGTTGTAGTTGGCACTAGCAACGGGTGGCGGGATGAGGTGCAACTGTATCGAGCTGGGGGCGCCTCCTGTGTGTGAGTAGTTTCACACTTGCAGGGGTACAGGAGGGAGCAAACGAGAGACGGGGAAGGGACTGCGGCAGGGGGGGTGGCTGCTTTCCCCCGTTGTTGCTTGAATGTCGTGGGTTTTCGCTTCGTCTCTTGTCGCTTGTTGATTGTTCTGCTTCTGGCGCGGGGCTTCCGCCATACATAGGCGCGCATTGCTTTCGGCTTTGCTTTTGCCTTTGCTTGAGGTGCAGGCCCAGGCGTTTGAGGCGGCGGCAGACTGAGCGGGGTCGCAAAATGAAGAAGACGCGCCAGGGCCAAGGGCTTGCCGTCGATACTGCTGGGCGGTGCTGCAGCACGGCCAAGGCGTGGCGCGCCGCTTCTCTGCGTGGTTTGCTTGCTTCGTTTGGGTGATATTCTATGCGCGGGCCGCCGGGAGCTTCTAGGCCGCGCGCCAGGCATACCGTCAGAGCGGTCGCCCGCGTTCTCTTGGTGCTTGTTTGGTAAATTGTTCCACGCGCAAGGGCTTGCGCTGGTGCTTGCTGGTTTCGTTGGCGCCTGCGTTTGTGGGTCGTGGTTGGTGTTTTTTTTGCGAGTGGCTGTTGCTTGTTGCGTGCTTGGTTCGTCTCTTTTTGGTTGGTGTGCATCGTGGTCGCGGTGGCTTGGAAGGCTCGCTGCCACGCTTGTTATGTGTGGCACCGTAGTCATGCCGATGGCTGACGCCACTGCCAGCCCCCGCCCCCGGCTGCCTGACGCCGTGGAGAGAGCTGGCCGCAGCGTCAGGCCATCGCCGCAGGCTGTGGCTGTGGTTCTTCTATCATTCAGCGACCCCGGGCCGCGGCGCTTGCTGCTATTTAGATAGATATCAGGGGCGTTGACTCAGCTGGCAGGCGAGGAGGCAGGGCTGAAGGGTGGGCATTTGGTAACAAGAGCGCCAGCTGGGGCGCGGTTTTTGGCCGCTGCGCTTATGTGCAGCGCGCGGCCAGCTTGAGGCATAGATGACCAAGACAGAGGCACAGGCAAGCTGGCCACGCGCCGCATGCCGCTGCCAGGGCTTGCGCTTGCATCTCGCTACCTACTTCCAAGCTGTGCGGCTCGTCTTGTCTGTCAGCGAAGGAATGGTGGGAAGTCCTCGAAATCTGGCAAAAAGGGCAAGAAAGTACCTCCGGGGTGTGCCGCTGGTTGTTTCTCGAAGTTCGTGGCCGTGGCTTCAAGG